ATTAATAGATTATAATTAGTAGCTCTATAAATAGATAATTCTATCCTTTATAAGCTGCTTTATTCTAAACCCTTTAATATATACTTCTTAGATTTAATAGTTAAGAAGAAGCTTATAATAGAGTTAATATTATAAAGGATAATTAGATTTCTAGTAATCTCTTTATATAGCTTTAGTTTAATTATATATATAAAAAATTAATTCTAGATAAGATTCTTAGTGATTACTTAACTTATAATAAATATCTATATAGTATTCTTCTAGTTACTAAAGAAATTTATAATACTTTAATTCTACTTTTATTATAGATTCTAGAGTTTACTAAAGATAATTAACCCTTTATTATAGTCTCTCTTATATTATTAATATAAAAAGTTAAATAGTCTAATTAGAGTCTATAGTTTTAAGTTATAGCGCCCTAGCTATTTTATCTTTATATTATTTTAGAGTTAACTTTTAATATATTATACTTTACCCTCTTCTTTCTAGAAGAAGGATAGTTTAGCTTCTATATAGACTAAAAGATTATATTTCTAAAGATAAAGCTTCTTTATAAATTTACTTATATAAAATTTAGGCTCTAAATATTTAATAGCCTTTATTAATAAATATTATTTAATAGTATATAATATTTACTATAGTACTTTATTATTTATAAGAGCTAGCTAAAGTATAATATCTTAATACTCCTAATTAATTATAAGTCTAGAGGAAGTTAGTAAATTATTAAATAAATCTTTAAAAAGTTCTTAGACTAACTATTCCTTTACTTAATTTATTAAAATATTAAAAGGTACTTTAGGCCCCTCTATAGTATAGATTAATTTATTTATATTAATATTTAATTAATTAGTTATAGATGCCTTAGTGCTAGAGGTTACTTAAGAATAATTAAGTATTCTTAATAATTAGTTTAATATTCTTAAGGTAATGGCTTATTACTAATATATTATTTATTTTAAGTTATTTCTAAGTATAGGTCTCTTATGGCCCTAGGATTCTTATATTAGATTAAAGTCACTTTAATCTAATATATAGGGGAAGTATTTTAAATTATAAGTAGTAACCTTATACTACTAGGGGTAGATAAGTAAGATATTAATATAACTAGATAATAGTAAGGTCTAGGGATATAAGAAGTCTATAGTAAGTTTAATAAAAGAATAAGATAAAGTGCTTAAAGTTCTATTCTATCTAGGGGGGATAGTATATATCCTAACTCTAAGTGGGGTACTTAATGAGTGCCTGATCAATGCCCAACGTCAACTAACAGTCGCATAGTATGCTTAGTTAGATGGCTTATAGGGCGGCGTCAGTGCCGGCCTTATAATGCCTGATATAATTGCGTCTATAAAGTCTTTATAAAGGGAGGTCTTATAGTCTATATAGTAGGCCTTTACCTACTTATTAAATTAACATATTACCTAGTTTTTAAATACTTAAATAGTTATTTAAATATCTATGTTACTAATAATATATCTTACCTAGTGAAATTAAGTTATATTATTAATAAAGTATATAATCTACCTCTCTCCTTAATATCTAGTTATTATCTATATTATATTAAATAATACTTAGTTAAATGGCTTTACTATATATATATAGGGTCAACATAATATCTATTAATTTAATACTAATAGATAATACTTATAATATTTAATATTTATTGGTTTATAGGCTTTATTAGTGATTATTATACTATTAACCTATATCTCTAGATATTAAATAATATTATACTTAATATAACCTAGGTGTTAGTGCCAGGTCTTTATAGTCCCTTTTACTATTAGGGGTTTCTTTAAATATATTATTTCTATTGCTTAAGGCTCCTATTAAGCTATTATTATTATAAATACTAATATCTTATTAAATTTAAGTATATATAGAGAGTATCTCTTAATTATTATATAGATATTAATATATTCTTTATATAATACTTCTTCCTCTTAATCCTATATAATACTGTCCTTTTTAAGCAGGTTTATAGATATAAGATTAGTATAGAATTAAGATAAATATATAATATCTTTAAGTAGTATATTTATTATCTTACTATTAACTATATAGGGCTTAATAATAATACTCCTAACTTTATAATAGGTGCTCTTACTCTCTCTAGTATATATTATAAGATTTAGGGATATAAAGGATATAAATTAACTATATTAGTTATAGATATAAGTATCTATTCTTAAGTCTAGGATAAAGCTGTCTTATAAGGGATAATTCCCCTTTATATTATTTAATACTATTAATATTATCTTTAAGCTTAACTAGACATTTTTAGGGTGTTAATAAGCCACTATATTAATATTTTTATTCTATATTATAAGATTTAACTTCTTATACTCCTCCTTTACTTTTTTATATATCCTTATTATAATCTTATAAAGCACTAGTTTCTTTTCTTTAGTAATATTAAATTATTTTATTATTTCTATATTTAGTACCTAGCTATTAGGGTAAATCTATTTATTAATATAATAATATTTTTTAAATTAATATCTTCTTCTATAAATATAGTATAATAACATCTTTTTTAATAATGCTGTCTTTAATCTATCCTTATTATAATCTTTAAATAATATAAATATATTTATATTATTATTTTAAGAGATTTATAGTCCTTACTATTCTCTAAAGTTAATTAATATATCTAGTACTAATATCTTTAATAAGTATTTAACTATCTAGTTTTATTAAATTAAGTATATTATTATACTTATATATTTATAATAGAATAAGTTAATTTATTTAAGTAATTAATATACTACTTACTTTATATCTATAATAGTGTTAAGCTTAAAGCTATAATATTTAAGATAAAGTATCTTTTAGTATATAAGTTATTTATTAAAGCTTTCTTTATTAATTATTTTTAGCTAGATATTATTCTATTTATGGCCTAGCTATATTATTTAAGTACTATTATTAAGTATATATCTTGCCTATAGCTACTTTAGCATCTCTTATAGAATCTTAATTATACTAATTAAGTTTTATAAGTATTTATTAATTATCTCTATAATTTAATTATAAAGCCTAATAATTATGCCTTACTTCTTTTAATATGATTTTATATTATTATAATAATAATTAATTATATATTTATATAGGGCTTACTCTACTATAATAAGTTTCTCTAGTATTATTACGCCCTGCTAATAGGATGCAGGTGTTAAAGCTTATAGCTCCTTTAATATATCTTTATATTCTAAATCTATATATTCTTATATAAGTAAGGATTATATATATCTTAATATAGCTATATACTATAGAGGCCAATTATCCTTATCTTTTAGGATAATCTTATTAATATTAGAGGTCATATTTATAGGTGGTCTATTAAAGTAATATAATTATTTATAATACTTAATATTATTAATAGGTTAACTTACTATCTAGTAAATTAGTGTAAATAAGTTATATTAACTAGATATAATTAGGCTTATAACTTTTAGCTAAATAATATAAGGATTTTCCTTATATAGAGCTAATAATAGGATAATATTAAATTAATTAACTAGATAACTTTTAGGGATAAATATTGTCTGTAATATATAAGTATATAGTAGGGTTAGGCCCTGATAATATGCAAATAATAGGAATATCAATAGGAAATAGTTAATAAATGGTTAAGTAAACAATATAAAGAGAAACTGTATATCTGACGATAGGTATCCATATATCCGTCGTAGTTAACACATCATTATTACTCAATTTTTATGATCAACCATTTCTTCTAGATTGCTTACAGCTGGCTATTGTGATAGTACAATATTATATTGCGTCATATTATACCCTGCTGTCACCCTGCCATCAATTATCTTTTTGAAGTAGCCGTTTAAAAACCATTCATATCTCCAAGCTTGGGCCGTTACAATACCGAGATTTCTGCATACAAAATCTTGCGATTCCATTTGCCTTCCCTTCCTCAAAGGCAGTCGTGAAACATGGACAGCTGTGTCACTTACTGTAGACCTTAGGTCTGCCTGGCCCCTATCCATCAGCAATATGGAGAGGATTCATCCCTCTCTGATGGCTTAGAAAGCCATTCGACAATATCATCAAGATAGGCACACCAGATGTTTCTCAAGCATGCAGCTGCCGTGGCAATCATTGGCATCATAAAAATGGTATGGTAGGATTCCTTACTAGATCAGTGAATCTTCTGACCGTCTAGATTAAATTGGTTGACTTAGTACTCTAGTCTTGGCGGCGCTGTCGTTACCTAGTAAGAAACCCTCTACTTATTGTACTATGACTTCTAACTATCCTTCTTAGAGACAAACCTGTGGAACTAGACTCCAGAGGTCTAATTACTAAAGAACTAGAGTTATTTAACTTTATTTCTAAGTATAATAGCAAAGACATGGTTCTAAACCTGGGAGTTCTGGGGCGCAGTCAGTAAGTAGTCATTGGCAGAGGCCAGGCCTGTCTTTCTTTCTTTCCTTTATGGTCCTAGACTAAACCGGCGTCCAGAGTACTGTAGGTGGTGAATTAGGATACCATCTTAGTATGTTAGGATCTCTAACTAGATTAGTGATTTATCTGCCTGTCTGTAGTGAATTAGCCTACATCTTTCACCTTCACCTAGAGTGACATTAGTTATAGATTACCTTCTCGCCGGCTCTACTGCTGTATCATTAAAGTAGATACACTATTTTGGTGGTTACCTATTAGAGTGTAAAGGGTGGACCTCCCTCTAAGGTCATCAACTTGTTTAACTGAAGAACCGGGAGGCAGGTCCTAGACCAAACTAGCGTCAGGAGGTGCTATGGGTGGCACTATCTTCTATAGAGTACTATATTAAGGTGTCTTTCGTGTAACTACTGTCATCATCAATCAATCATTTATTCATTCTTTCTCATTATTATACTGTTTAAGATGGATCTCCTCCTGAGTAGTGACTTGGCAAAGAAATATTACGAATTCCCTCGGGAAAAGGAATAGGTCTAACCGTTCGAAGCCTCACTTCGTGGTTTAAACTAGGACAGTTGACCCTAGATATCCTAAGGTTGTGACAATGTCATCATGTCCACAGGGTTCAAATATCATATGCTGTGTTTCTTGGCTGGAATGGAGACAGCATCATGTCCATGGAATTCGGATCATCATAAGCTGTGCTTGCTGGCTGGAATGGAGACATCAGCATGTCTATAGGATTCAGATCGTCATAAGCTGTGCTTGCTGGCTGGAATGGAGGCATCATCATGTCCATGGGATTCATATCATCATGAGCTGTGCTTGCTGGCTGGAATGGAGGCATCATCATGTCCATGGGATTCAGATCATCATAAGCTGTGCTTGCTGGCTGGAATGGAGGCATCAGCATGTTTATAGGATTCAGATCGTCATAAGCTGTGCTTGCTGGCTGGAAAGGAGGCATCATCATGTCCATAGGATTCAGATCGTCATAAGTTATGCTTGCTGGCTGGAACGGGGGCATCATCATGTCCATGGGATTCGGATCATCATAAGCTGTGCTTATTGGACCTATTAGACCCAGCTGCGATTGGTTTTTTGGCTCTAAACGATTGTGGAGGACATTTGTCTCTTTGTCGGATTCCATGAGATTTCCATCATATGACTTATTAAATGGTTGACGGTGGTTTGCAGATGACTGTATTTGTGGAAAACCATGAGAACTGAAGCCTTGAGTAGTTGTATTAGGCATATTCTTTTTCCGAGGCCATATGATTTTTCCTAGAAAGCATAAGCAATCTAATAGCCTAGCAAAGGATTTCCCTACTCACTTTTGAATTGAGGAAAAGCAAATCCAGCTTTCTGTAAAAATTGTTGTAATATTTCGAGGATTATGTCATGGGCAGCTGATTTCTGTGCTTCATTGGTGATGCCTCTCTGCTTGAGCGAGTCTAATAATAAATCTCGCCTTGCGCCTTTCTTGGGAAGCTCGTGTAGCCATCTATGTCAATTCAGCATCACCACAGAAGCAGCTTTAAACTTAATACATACATGGATTCTCCAATGTCGTTGGGAAGGAGTACCAGAACTCCAGGGCCGCCTAGTTCTTGAGATAAGAGCCAGAGTCTTTCGCCCCATTCAACCCAGGAGCGCAGCTTTTTCTGGACTCTAGCATGATGTAGTTTCAGAATACCATTAATAATTTGAGAAAGAGAGGCGATTGCATCCTGACTCTGGCCGGCTTCTTGGATACACATTGTCATTAGAAAGAAGATGGTATAACTCAGCCGGCAATGAATCTTTTGAATTGTGCCCTCTTTCATTTCATCGGTCCATAGAAAAGATCTGGCGATGAGTTCATATCCATGGAGTTCCACATACTCTTCATCTGATGCGAGGGCAGAAAGGCTTTTCTGAAAGTTTTGAGGGGAGTGTTGAGACAGATTCAAGAACGGCTGCAATTCTGGAGAAAGTATTATAGGGGAGACCCTACGGGAATGACGTTCCACCCTATTTTCCTGGACACGAATTCGGCTTGGTAACTTTCTGAATATCGACTTGGCAACTTTCTCGATGTGCTTAAATACTGTTATTAGAAGGAAAGCTTGTACGAGCAAGAAAAAAGAAGGTTCATACATTAGACGCCCACAAGAAATTAGGATCAAGTTCAGCTTGGCCTGCATTCTCAGCCTTTTCGCATTCTTCAAGGATATTGAGAGCTAGCAATTTGCTCTCAGTTATGCCCATTTTACCAAGATCCCTTTCGGTGACAGGAATCGGAGAAGCAATTGTTAGAAGTGGGGGAACTGATTAAACATCCTGACTAAGTAAGCCCGGAGTATCTTTATTACTTTCCGAGAAGCCTCAGTTTAGTCTAGTACGCCAGAACTATTTTTTTATATTTATTCACCTCCCTCATAGTTTTACTATATGGTCTTGAATTGTCTCTTTTAATACATCTAGAGTTGGTTTCTACTGTCTATCCAATGGTAGAGAAATCATGAGCTAACTATTCTTTGATGTCTCGGCCCCGGCTTCTGTATGCAGGCGTTCTAACACCGTCCACTACACCCATCCTACCAACCTCAAAATTTGAATCTCGGATACAGTCGTAGTCTAGATAGCATTGAAATATATTTGATGGCTATAACTGCTTTAAAGCCAATACCAAGCATAGTAGATTGCCATCTCCTTCAGCCATCAACCGGCTATTTCCTGATATAAAATTGATAGAACCTTCTTTGTTGTTTAATTGCACCCTTGTAGCCTTTAAATCTTCTGCATATATGTTGAGACTGTCCTTTTTCCGTAGAACAATCACAATATATGCAACAGCAGGTCGTGGGAAAAATGGTCCGCGTTTAAGGAAGAATACGTTCGATCGTTTATCGCCGATGCGTGTCGCATCTAATATATCATTGGGTATCTGGCTGATTAGCAATTTTTCCCGAATATATTTTATCAAATCACACCTTTGGTAGGTATTTCTCCTCAATTTTCCGTAAAATAGTCGCGCAAGTTTCGGAGACATATAAAGGGTAATATGACTGCATGCTCGCATCATATGGCTCGGGACTTTTTGTGTATTCCGATACAGCAATATTGATCAGGTGAATAAAATCTTCATCAAGCTCAACTAGATCTGCAAGATTATATCCGGGAACCATATCGAGGATCCAAGAGTTCGACGCCTTCCAAGGAGATCAGCTTGAAGATTTAATATACCTGATGTTTCGAGTGCTTCTGTATCTGCATCAATCTGTGACTGTGAAATGAATCTCGACTTGTTCATTGCTCATTGCTGAAGAGCTTAAAGAAAATCTAAGTTATATAATGTTTTAGGCAGGCATCCTTAAGTGGGGTTTGGGTACATTGCGGATCACATGATTAGAAGAAAAAAGGCAATTCTAACGGAAAAATAAGTTGATCCGTCTCCTACGTCGGTCCTCCTCCCGTTCCTGTATGAGGACTCGACGAGGGCCCGCGCGCGGGGGAACCGCACTGATACATACACATATCTTGAAGCTGATCGCTTGCGAAAGATCGCCCGCCATGCTAAGCGTACACCCCCTCCCCCCTCTTGCAAGACCAACGGACACGCTCCAGTACCAGCCGGACCAGGAAGGCCAAAATGCTCCGATTGTTCTTCCCGAAACCACCAGAGGCTAACCTGGACCACATCCAGAACTTCCGGTACTCTGAGTCGATCGAAACACTAATCTAAACGCCACCGATCACAATATATGCAGTCATCACTGCCGTCCATGGCCTAGGCGCCGTCTGTGGCTAGACGACCTCCCGAACTGAGTACTGCAGATACACCCTGAAGATAAACATGGACGACTTGGGACACTACCAGGAAGTGGGCGCCACAGCGGCGGCTCTAGAACCATTGGTGATCCGCCAGGCCTACATGGCCTGGAGACAATAGAGATGGTGGTGGCGGCGGAGATTGCTGGCATCGTGCTCGCGCTCCGCCTCACTAAGGAAGACCAGCGGCTCTTTGGCTTTTAATGGGTATAGGCCGCCTCACCTACCTGCGACTGCTCTCACTGCCGACGTCTTCGGATACTGATCAGGACCAGGACCAGGATTTTTGCCACTCGGCAAACAGGCACCGGGCCACCAACGCATGGCAACGCGCCGGAATGAGGCAGCGGCTCTATAAACTACTACTTTTTCATCTAATTTTCTCACCTCCCTTTACTGACTACACGTGCAAACGCTCCCGGGTTCAAACTTTTCGGCAAGTATTAGATGCCCAGATTTGCCCACTTTCCACGCAGCTGTACGACCTACACCAGTTGACTGCCCAGTGCCGGGCACCGGGCGGCAAATGCGCACGTCAGTTGACGCGGCGCCAAAGTGACCCAAAATGACGGTGAAAACTGTTTGGAGAGGTGACCAGGACATCTGTTAGCCATAGACAAGGAGATAGGAGGGCGGGGCGCTTACGTGGAGGAACAGCAGGATTAACACGAGATCTGGGCAACTGGCGGACGAGGATCCAGTGGAGGCCTTGGCAGTGCGGAGCGGAATTCCAGACTAAGTGGCAACTGTTCTCAGCCGCGGGTGGGAGCGGGCTGGCCGTCCTGGGCAAGTGGCGACGGCTCCTGCACATGCCTGCCGGCAGACGCGTCCGGGTGATATAAAGAATGAGATTATGAGCATGAGAATGGCATTATCAACTAGAAGACAGAGCCGTTGTATCTTAAGAAAAAGACATGATAGTATGCTGCAGAATGCTGATTATTTCCAAACTCGATTTATAAAAATCGTCAGACCACCGACGATAGTCGCTAGAATGAAGAGTTTTGACGTTCTTTTTGGAGACACTCTGTTGCTAGAAACGCCTGTTTCTACTATATCTTGTTCAGCAACAGAATCCAGCGCCTCCTTTAAACACTGTGCATTTGGAAACCCCCGTTCATCCCAACACTTTTCAATGATTGTACCAAGCCAGATTTCGTGAGTGTTCGGAAGTGAGTCTCGTCGTGGCCAGGTAGCTCGGCCATCATCAGCAGCGTTATCTCTGAAGAGATTGAATTCACATTGTTGTCCAGTAATGACTTCATACATCACTGCACCAAGTTGTCCAATATCTGTGAAAATTGAAAATCCGTTGTCGTCAGCAGATTCCATGTCCGTCTCCAGAGGCAGAAGAGATGATTCACTGAAATCACAGAGCTTTATCGCTAAATTTAAATCGAGGAGAAAATTGCGACAGGAAATATCGGCAATAAGCACGCGGCTGTCATGTATTTGACTGATTGTTTGGGTCATTTGACGAAACCATGCCAATTGAAGCCTGCGAGACACGGCATTTTTCTTCAGGTAGGCTCGAATATCTCCATTTTTCATCCATACGAGGTGAGTCTCATTGTCCAGCAAGTGAACACAAGGGACCACACCAATAATCTGAGATGATTGAAGTCGGCGATAAATTTCTTGCTCGCGGTGAATAACACCCATATTGATTTCGAAATCGATATCAGTACTCCAAGGATGTCTCAAAGGTATTTTAACAGCTAAGCCATCACGAAGGATGACTACCCCTGATCTTCCATACCCAAGAGTGTCGTTCTCACGAATAGGCTGATGGTCAAGATCAATGAAAAGTGATGAGGCCATATATGATTATATTTAAGGCAAGTACATAAAAGAGAGATGAATTGGAATCACCAAGTACACTGGTTCTACAGGGCTTATCCCTTCGTCTGTCGCGCTTGTCGCATTTTAGCATCTTGGCGCGGAGCTCGGCCAACTTGGCTCCGATTGGCCTATGTCAGTGGAACTAGGAGAATCTATGGGGCTGTATCAGTCAAGGTATTCATACTTACCCTTATCGAGCCTTACTAAGCCAGTCGGATAAAAGACCGCCGATTTCCGCGCCAAGACGCTAAAATGCGACAGATGAATGGGATAATAAGCATTTACGGCACGTGATCGTTTTACACTTGTTGGACACGAGAAGGTTGTTCTGGTATTTATATACGCGACCGGCCGGCCTAATGAGGTAATGATCACGTGACAAAAATGACTAAGGAATGACTAATTAGGGCCGGAGCCCGAACCCTGGTGGCCGAGAAGAAATGTGCCTTAGGCTACAATACTTGATGACTAACCATTTCAATGAACGGATACCTCGCTCCCTGCAGAAACCCCTCCGCTCGCCTCCCCGCTACTGCCAGAGCCACCTCCTGGCTGATTCCCACCGTTGCCTTTCTTGTTTTCGCGATGCCGAGGGCAATTAACTTTGCGTCGAGTAGAACTCGTCTGCGTGGTTGGAGTAGCAGGATCACAGTCTGTACCTCTCTGTACAGCAGCTTCGCACCATTGAATATGGTCTTCAACAGGATCATTATTTTCACATTCTCCTGTTGCCTTCCCCGTGCAATCAGGGAAAAAAGCAGGTGTTTTACGCCTCACCCAACACATTCTGCTAGGGTAAATTAGTGGGGCTATAAATATAATATATAGATAGGGCTTACTTGGATATAAAGCATGTATGTTGTTTTGCTTAATTGCAAAGATTCACATTCAGGATGTAAATATGAGGTATTTTATAGTTATTTTCTCCACTGAGGGCCCTTAGCATTTCGCGCGCGAAGAATTATTACACCAACACCCTAAATCATCGAGAGCGAAGAATTAAGGTACACTAAGTCCTAACCCTTCGCGCGCGAAGAATTGTTACATCAATACCAGTACCTACTCAAACATGAAGAATTAGTGTACCCTAAGCCCTATCTCCTCGCGCGCGAAGAATAATTGTTCTCCAACTCTTCATGCGCGACGACACTAAAAGCTCTTCAGCACAAAGAGGAATGCCGTGGCCATTGCGCGCCAAGATAATGCTTACCATATGGGGCTTTAGTATCACCTTATGTACAACTATAGCTATCAGTACATTGCTACAGGGATGCTAGGACGTAGCAGGAGATGTAAATTCAAATAGAATCTTAATATAAGTAGTCTACCATGTATATTGATAGCAATGGATTTCTATTGAATCAACCACCTTTATACTTTGGTTATTTGGTAGCTTGACTTGCAATGTAAGATCTTAAACACTTATGCAACCTACACGTTGACCGACGTTAACTTCTCCAGGGATTCCATTTTGACGTGCGTACGGTGTCTGCAAGCATGGATGAGATGTCAAGACGGTACATTACAGTCATTGTCATCTGTGGAAGACCAGGGGGCTGGGCTCCATGTGCCCCCTGTACCTGAACACTTTACACCACAGGAGCCGGCGGTGAGCTGAACAGTCCACATCCATGGGTAAACACTCTCAATTGACCGTTTTTCCAGAAATACGGCACTTCCTCGGATACGCGAAAGGTCCTCCAAGTTGGTACTACCATATACCATGCAAATGGAATCAATAAGAATATGAAAATTGATGCTAGAATCCTTGGAACAACGTGGAAGCAAGTCTCTCTTAAGGAGCTCATTAGGATGGAAGGTGGTAGGGAACATCTACATGATTCATTTCCCAACCTGCTAGACATAGTTCTAAGGGAGGCGCCAGCCAGCATGCACAATTGAAACTAGCATCCGGTGTACAATGTGTCTATTGACCGTCTGAAGCCGGAAAAATAACTGGCATTCATTTTCCTCCATGCATACGATTCCCAATGACACCTTCGATATATTGTGGGCCATGATGCATGATACTACTGGATATGCTGATTCCTAGAATATTGTAAAAGAGATAGTACTGTTGTAGAACCAACTCATAGATACAGCACAGTGAATGCCTGGATATAAAAGACTGCATCTTCTGTGGTGGATAAAGCTTTAGGTTTCAATCATCACAGATTTTACTGGAATCTAGTTTTATTGGCAGTAGTCTACGATCTATTGCTCTGCATTTTCAATACAGCCTGGGCAGACATTCTTTAAGACATCTGGTCTCTTTCATCCACAACCGCTCGATAAATCACGTGATAGCCGAGCTGAGTCATCAAGATGCCCTCACCCCACCTAACAGAAGAAGACAAACAATACGAGGCCGCCCATGATCTGAAGAATGCAAATATGGAGCAATTAGGGTACCAAAGTATTGACTGCAAATTGCCTGACGAGGCACTGGTTAAGAGAGTTATTAGGTATTTTAAAAAAAAAGAGAAAAGGTTCTAGGGTTTAACTATCTGAGCTATTAGAAATACTGACTATAAGGAGCTTATAAAATATAGAGGACCTGATATAGATATAAGTACTACTAGTCTAATTATCACTAAACCTCTATTTCCAGGTTACTAATACTAGTATTATATAGTGGCTAGAACAGAGGGTGGCGACTAAGCTTGGCGTTAAATTTAACTAAGTTACTATTTAAGGTCTATATATTGTCGGCCTAAAAGATATAAATATAATAAATAATATAAATAGAGAATATGAACTTCTGCGAGCACACCTATTAAAGAAATTAATTTCTGTGTTTTATGTTATTAGGGGTAAGATTAGGCACAATCATGGCGTCTTTGCCGTCTGGCCCTTATTATATAGCATATGGGAAGACAACTGTCCTTCTGCTAATAAGAAGATAGATATTTAGCTGAAACTAATACCTAGAAATATCTTCCTCATCAAAGGAGAAGCCTATATGGGCCTTATTATTCCACTAGAGACCATTCTACTTTAGGGGGGTTTTTCAGAATCGCCTATCCTCGAGGATGCATGGAAATCCCACCGTTTTGATTTTATGGTCTAGTCCCTTCTCTTCATGGGCTATTCCTTTATCTGTCAGCCTAGTTTCAGCTCGGATTCAGGTATAAGGGATCTCACCAGTATGCTTTTCATGCCACTTTTGGTATCGCCCCACCCACTCCCAGAGGTTTAGTTCGTTTGCAAGTATGACAATGTGCCTATGCGGTTTACTTTGAAGAGCTTCAATGAGATGCAGTAGCTCATCATCATGTAGATGCCAAAATTTGGTGATAGCGGGTAGTAGTACCAGTGAAATGCCAGGCACTCCCAGCGCATTCTCAATGCGTAAAAGCTTCTCGCCCACTCTCAGCGCATCGAGCGCCCGACTTTCTGGGGAAAGATTAAGGGCCTTGATAAACTCTGGTCGTAATCCATAACAGTTTGGTATTATGACGTCTTTGATCTGGTGCGCCTGTATAAGCAGTGGAGGCTTTTGCTGCTTAGATAGCCAATCCTTCTCCTTCAAAGCCAACCCTCTTGATGAGAGATAGGACAGAAGTAGTGATCCCCAAGATTCCCAGTTTGCATTCCATTTTCGACCAACTAAGAAGCCAGTCAATGACGGATGCTCATTTCCGTTTCGCGGAATATCAAGAACGGGTCCAGTCCAGTCTCTCTTGATAAACTGGACAATACTCGTGATTGAAACGAGGTCTAGGATATGCTCCGCTTTAGTGGCCTGTGACATAATGACCGAAAAAAAGAATATAGAAAGTGATGTATGTACAGGATGTACAGGGAGTGTAGGAGTGGGATAGGGAATAACTGCCGATGGGGGCGGATGGCCTTTGAAATGTGGCCTGGTGGGGACTTGGATGTGTATAAGATGATTAGTCCTAATGCAGTTAACTCATGTACAAGGAACACCTGCTACTATTTGTAGATTTTGAGATGTGGGGGCTCTCTACAACATTTATTGGTTTTATTATGGGTAGCCAATAGGGGTGAAAGCCGTCACATGGTCTCTCTGCTTTTCTGTCATTAAAATATGTGATGGGTACTCTTAACTTCTCCCCTGCGGCGGTTTATGTAGAATCTTCAAAGGTGGTATTCAGTGAGAACAGTAGAAAAAACAGTGTGCTACTATACTTTTGCCTTCCTAAGAGGCATTAAAAATAATAAAAATTACCTGGTTTCTTCGCCATTTACACCCTTTCAGATGCAGTGGAGATCCTGGTAATAGAGGAAGAGGGGTAAAAAGAAACTAGATAGAATTTATCCTGCATGCACAGCAGGGGATGAGCTAGAGAGGGGTTTCATGATATTACACCAATGGTATTATTCCGCTGATCTGATCAACATAGCAGGAAGGAAGCTCTTAAGAGATGTAAACCATTTTTCACTGCTTTTAATGAACCTACTGAAGAACATTCCTGGTATAATGAAGGTAATCTCAGAGAGATGAAGATGTATGGTAAACTCTAGTTTCAATATGTAAATTGTCTCTGGAGGCAAAGATTCGGTTTATAGCTCAGCTATTATCTGTAGTACTGTATAGTATGCAAGAGTATGCAGGAGTAGCACAACAGTCGGTATATTTTTCCTTTACTGCTTATATAGTAAAGTAGACGCCTCTTCCTTAGAGTGGGCTAGAATCAATTACTTTATCACTACCTTAACCATCAACTTAGCCATTTAGTTACTGATAATTAGTAAAGTAATAAGTTTTAGGTCCTAATAATACACCATGCCGAGCCAAGAGTCTTTCTAAAATGCGAATTATTTCACTAGTCAATTGTGGCCCTCAGAACATCACGTGTTCTCCCTTAATAATAGAATAGATAGGAGTATTGTCATGGCGACGGCGAGGTCGTTTGTATGCCTTAGGCAGGTTGTGGTGAATAGGGCCGCTATTCCTGTTTTAGCTTAGTGCAGGAAAGGGGAGAGAGATATTAGACGCGCCTTATAACACACCTCTCTCTCCTCTCCTCTTTCCCCTCCTTATTTAAATATTTTAGTATTGAAGCCACTAATTAATTATTTATTTACTTAGGGCCGTTATATAATATTTAAATTAATTAATCCTAATTTCTATATAATTAATAGTAGTTAAATGATACTCTAATTATCTAGTGATTCTATTATTATATCTAATTACTAGATTATGTTAATAATAAAAATATAATAAGACTAAATAATAACCCCTAAGTGTCATCTAGATGTCATGAGACCCTTAATAGAACTAAAGACATGATAATAAAAAAATAGTTCTTTAGTCTTTATATAAATAATCTAAATATACTATAAGATATAATATTATATCTAGTGACTAAAAGTAACTAATAATTAATAAATAAGAAGCTTTATACTAAAGCTGAGGCTATATTAGCTCTAAAGAATAATAAATAGTTAAAAGAAACCTAGTCGCAACTAAAGGAAGTATAGACTAGACTTATAGTTATAGAGAATAAATATATAGAATTTATATTAGCTCTTATATATAATACTACTAATAATACTACCTTAGTTAATAAAACCTTTAAACCTTATAATTCCTATAGACCTAAGTACTCTACTAAACTACCTAACCCCCTAATACTAATTAATAATAAGGATCTTAAATTTAATAATTAGCTAATATTAATAAAGTAGAAGCTGCATACTAATAGAGATTATTATAATATTAAAGAACTTTATATTGCCTATATATTTAATTATATAAATAAAAAGGCCTATAAATATATAACTCTTAGACTCTAGAATAATATAAAGAACCCCTATAATATAATTAGTAATATCCTTAACTATCTAGAGACTATTTATAAGGATCTAAACTAAGTCACTAATGCTAAAGTATTATTCTATTATCTATTCTAGAAATAGGAGAAATTTTATAATTTCCTTTTTAACTTTATACACCTGGCTATAGAGGCAGGAGTTAATAAGAATAATCTCTAAAATAAGCTTTATTATAAATTAAGCTACTATATATAAGAACTTATTATCCCTAAAATTAATAAGGATAGATCCTTTAAGGAGTTTACTAAATACTACTCTAAAATAGCAAATTAATTAGAGGTTATAAATAATAATATAAACTATAGTAAAGGTAAAAGAAGAGGAATTATGCCTACTAATTTAAGTATAAGTAATAAGGTGTTAACCCCTATTATTAAATATATTATCTTATAGAAGCTGAACGCTTACAACTCTCCTTATCTTACTATTAATCTAGCTATTAAGAAGTAGAGGGAGGACTATAATACTTACTTTATATATAGCTTAATAAAATATAAAGCTAGGGCTTACCCTAAATAGAAGACTACTAACTTAAAGCTGGCTAAGCTTAAGGAATTAGAGGCTAAAGAAGAACCTATAGAGCTAATAAAAGACTTAGCCTAAGGAAAGTCTCCTCCTTAGATAAAGTAGAAGTAGATATAGGAAAATTAGACCTATTTAAACTAATTAGTAGATAACCCTTTACTATAACTAGTTAGTTATTATATAATAGATATAGTATACTAATTACTATATTGGCAGATATAGGAGTGAGAGGAAGTATCTTTATTAATATATAGAGAATAAAGGATATAGCTTAATTCTTTAATATCCCTTTATACCCCTTATTAGAACTAATAGGTATTAAAGGATTTAACAGCTGGCCTAAGACTCTAATTATTTATATTATTATTCTACACCTATAGGTAGATAAATAATAATTTTTAAATAAACTAATACTTATTACTAACTTAGGGCATTATAATATTATTATTAGTAAGACCTAGATAATAAAATAAGACGCCTAGTTAAACTATTAAAATAATTAGTTTATATAGCTAAAATAGAGCTTAATACTAAATAAAGAACTTTAGGAGAAATAGTCTATAATATTACCTAAGATAATACTATAGTAGAAGAGTAAATTAATAGTAAAAAAGAAATTTTAAGAGAATATAGTTTATTATAATAAAAAGCTAATAATAAAGATAAGAGTAAAATAATATTAATAAAGAAATTAGACTTATTACTGACCACCCTAAATAGAGGCTATCTATTATTATAGTAACCTAGCTAAGATAAAGTAGGAGCTAAAGAAAAGTATTATTAATAAAAAGGATTAAGTCCTAGAAAGAAAGGACTCCCTAAGATATAATAACCTAATAATAATTAATATTACTATTATTAGGGCACTAGTGTTCTATTAGTATATAAAGAAAGAGGATTTAGAGATCTTTATCACTAGCCTAATAAAGATTAAGTAAATTATTAAGGAAAAATAATAGGATTAATAGAACTCTTAGACCTAGAGAGTAGTACTTATTAATATAGAATAATTAAATAAGAACCTATCCTAACTTATTCTAAAGGAGTATTATAATTTCTTAAATATCTTTTCTAAAAAGAAGTTAGATAACCT